ACAAATGTTTATTTTTACTTTATTTAATATCTAATACTTTATTTAATATATTAAATAAAGTAATTAAATGCATGTTTTTTTTACGCAGTCAAAGGAATATAACACACACAAAAAAGGGAGTTGTACAATTACATTAATAAATATACTTGGGTACTAATTTTTTGCTCGCAAGTGTACATGCGCAAATTTTCCCCCACTTCGTCGCCCAAGGTTCAAGTTTTTTGCCGACAATTATGTCCGTGTGGTGACGGATTAAGAATACAGTGTCACCCCCCCTATTCATCCCGTGGGTGTCGTAAGAGCCGACTACGGAAGCAAACTATGCAGGACAACAGCACTGCGCAGAGAGAAGGAAAACTTGACACGGTTTGTGTCATACCAACCCGTCTGGCCAAAACCTCCTTTTTAAGGAGAGGCTTATGTCCAGCATTGGACTATTAAAAGCTTTTGATGATGATATCTATCGTTACTGCCTATTGAATGAAGTAGTTATTTTAAAATCGTAGACTATCTCTCCAATCAGTTATAAATAATACAATTTATACCGCTACCCATTGCCTATCTCTAAGGTGTACCAAGGTGTATCACCTGATGGTGTCTACCGCCGCAACTGGACACCTGCAACTCTTGAGCCTCCCCCAGTGTCAGAGGGGGTTTGGGCTTCGGTAACCGTTGGCCGCATATACTATATAAAAAGTACCTGAAACCTGCAGGCTTGTATGAATCCTTTAATGATAGACGAGCTTGTGAGAGACATACCCCGTCTCTGTCTACCCCGGGAAGAATGGCGCGAATTTATAATGAATGAAAACCACTGCATTTAATAAGAATATTTTATTCCTTAACTATGTATTTACATTTAGATAAACTTAACATTAAATTTTATTAATTATTTCACAATAAATTCATACCATCGAACAAATATAACGAGATATATCAAAAATATGTATTTATTTAGAAAAATAGTTTAGGTACATACTTTGAGGAATTCTTTGAATTCTTATAGGTAAACCGCTTAATCCGGGAGTTGACATTTTTTCAAAAATCATTTGTATCGCTTCATATATTTAAAATAATACCCGTAAGGTAACATTAAATTTATTATTTTATCCCTAAATCAGTAGTATATTTTTAATTCAAACACTGTGATCACGTGACTGCACGGATGGCGTAGTGGTTTAAGCGGTCGTCACGCCCTTTACTACTGCGCTGAGTGTTGTGAGTCAGATCCCTACATTGGACATGATATTTATTTCTGTAAGTAAATCTTTTCAGATATTTTACAAGTCAGATTTTACAGCTAGAAGGAGTCGGCATTTCCTAAGACTCACTTTGGGAAGAAACGCCGAAACAAACCACTGAGGTCTTTTTTTTAGTCCGTAAACAAAGTTAAAGAAAACTGTGCGAGTACAGTGTAGGGTCTGGGTAGGTCTTTTGAAGACAGGACCATCGTTTTGAGTCGGCCTGTCCTTACAGACAGCATACGAGCCCCAGCCATCGTGTAGCCTAACCGATATTAATCAAGATCAATGACCCGAAGCGCGACACTACAGCCAGCAGGACATTTGAGTAGGCCGAGGAAACACTCAAAACCACCAGAAAGTTACTAAATATGAACTAACATTACAAGCCTACACTAACTCACATTTACATACTTACAAAAAACCCTGCGGCACCCCCATAGTGACCAGAGACCCCAAGGACCTCTGCCCATTAACTTCAACTCTCTGGATCCTATTACCCAAATATGAGATAAGAATCTTCTTATAAGTAGCAATAAATACAATGTCTACTCATCACGCTACGAGCACCTGCCGCCCGCACCTCTCCCGGTCCCCGTTCTCGTCCTACCTCCGCCCCTGTACCCCGCAGCCGAGACTCTATAGGCTTTAATTGAAAGATAGTTTTTACTACAAATCGGACATTTTTGTTTCCCGCTAAGTACACTTATATACTCTGTTAATGTATCATTAAGTGTAAAATCTTAAAGTACAGCCTGAATCGTCTGCCATTTTTAATTTAATGTTTTTATATCTTCAAATCAGCATTAAATATAAATGATTTGGAAAACTAGTTCTTGAGTGTAGGACGCCCACAGGGCAGATAGAGTGACGATTTGCGCAAGATGGCTGGCAGAATCTAGATGCGAGAAGCCCAAAATCGATCTAAGTGACGTGCAATGGGAGAGGCCTGTCCAGCTGATGATGATGATTTAACAATAGGTAGGTTATGACGTCACGCCTCAGTATTTCATACAAAAATGTACCGCGTTAACGTTTAATAAAAAGATACTGAATTAACTCGACAGTAATCTAACCAGTTCTTACATACATTGTGTTATTATTTTCTTTTGGACAGTACAAAAAATAGTCAATTAGTCGTCCTAATTACAGATTCGATTGAAAATAATAACAATCGATTTATTCCTTGCTACATAAAATATCTATCGGCAAAAGATTAATGGAAATCGGTCAATCGGTTCCGGAGATTAGCCTAAACAAGGAGATAAACAGACTATAATAGAAAAAAAAAACGAGTGTTCTTTAGACGACACGACTGAAGTAAAACTTGGCTATGAGAGAAAGAAAATGTAAGCTAGTACCTCTCTCTCTTGCCCCAACAGTAATATACGAAATGTAACTCTCTCTTTCTATCTCCACTAACTTATATCTCCATCTCAACTTCCGTTCGCCTCGCCAGATCACACTATTCGTAACGCTCTCGTCACACATTCAGCAGCGTTACTCCCCAAGCGTTCTACTTTAAAAAGAAAGGATTTTGGTGAAATATTCCTCGTCTTCATATATCGCGTTATTTATTGTAAATATTATCAATCACATATTTTTGTGTTACCCTGATATCATACAGAGTTTTAATATTCAAACAACAAATAAAATAATTCACATATACATTACTAATATTAGTTAAGACACAAGTTATGAAACAATCAACCGCTACTCAATTATAAAAACGTAGCCATTTCCTTCAGTGACAGTGATCATCCTTCATCATCATCATCAACAGCCTTTACTAGTCCACTGCTGGACATAGGCCTCTCCTTAGAAAGGAGGTTTTGGCCTACTATACCACGCTGGCAGACGGGTTGGTATAGGGTTTGTGTCAAGTTTTCCTTCTTTTTGCAGTGCTGTTGTCTTGCGTAGTTTGTTCCCTCAGTCGCCTCTTACGACACCCACGGGATGAATAGGGGTGGTATGGTGAATAGGGATTTTCTTGTACGCGCTTAGATCTTTCAAACTACGCAACGGATTTTAATGCGGTTAAACAATAGAGACAGTGATTCAAAACGAAGATTTATATGTATAATACATGCATATTGTAGTAGAGAATATACGAGAATTTCATACATTTGTCGTAAAAAAAACATGGTACATTACAACCTTACTAGATAGATCAAAATAATGTATTACGGAATTGTTTATCTTAAAAATATCTACAGAAAAGTCTGAGATGGTATATGTCTATCTCCTAAGGATAACACACAGTAACCATTTATATCTTTTACATATTACAATGTTACATGTCCGTGTGGTGACGGATTAAGAATACACAGTGTCACCACCCCCAATCATCCCGTGGGTGTCGTAAGAGCCGACTAAGGGAACAAACTACGCAAAACAACATCACTGCAAAGAGAAGGAACACTTGACACAATCCCTATACCAACCCGTCTGGCTAGCGTGGTATAGTAGGCCAAAACCTCCTTTCTAAGGAGAGGCCTATGTCCAGCAGTGGACTGTTTAAGGCTGTGGATGATGATGACATATTACAAAAAATAATGGATAATTTAGTAAGCTATTTTGAACAATACAGTATTATTTTCTTATCAAGAAAACTCCCGAATTAGGAATATATATAGGATTTTACAAACATACATGAAACGGACACAAAGAACACCCAGACTCAGAACAACAATTTGTGGATCACACTAAGTGTCGTCCCATGTGGGGTTTGAACCCACAACACTCGGCGCAGAAGGAACGGCGTGGCGACCGCTCGAACCACTACGCCATCCGTGCAGTCAGTATTATTCCTTTTTCAAATAAACATGTTGTTCGTGCATGTGTAAGAGGGTAAAATAAAAAAAACTGCGGGCGTGATTTTGACTGACTTTAAACAGTCAGAATTAGTTCAAACTTTATAGATATATCGAGGACCGATGACAATACACTAATCAAAAAAAAAAAACTAAAAAACACGCTTTTTATAGAAAACCAAACTAAAAAATAGAAAATAAATTTCAATAAATTTGAAAAAAAAAAGCGTTCGGTGCCTGTTGTCAAAAGTAAAAAGCACCCAACGCTTTTAGTTTAGTTTTCTATAAAAAGCGTGTTTTTTTAGTTTTTTAAAACTATTATTTTCATTCTTGGTTCATTTTTATTTACCAAAGTCAGTCAAAATCAAGCCTAAAGGAGTCAGTAACAAACAAACATACAAGTGAAGCTAATATAAAGCGTGGAAAAAAAAGGAATGAATTTTGCAAAACAGCCGCAGTCAATAGGTAATTACATTTAAATATCAGTAGTAGGCCAAAACCTCCTTTGTAAGGAGAGGCCTATGTCCAGCAGTGGACTATTAAAGGCTGGACTATTGATGATCAGTATCACAATGAGAATTGAATACAATTTATAAATAAGTAACGTTTCAGGGTTAGATTATAATTATTTTTCCTGTGGTTTCTCATATTTAATTAATATGAACACAATCTATAATTCTAGCGATTACTAATTTTATAATATATTACAAATATTAAATTGAGCATATAATTGACACTTAAGGCAAAAATTGGAATGTAACCATTAAGGCTTCAACAAGCACACAGTCGGTTAGTATTGTAAGTTTTTTTTAACTATCTGACAAGTCGGGCGCTTTACATTCGAGCGGAAATCCGCCGTGCTCTCCTATACCATCAAGTGTGATATGCTGTACAATGACCAACACGTTACTTCTCTTCTTATACTCTGATTAGTCTTGGATGGATGTCAGCAACAATTTTTCTGGACATCTCCATGTGCTATATTGTCGATACTCCAGGAAGGTAATTCCACCTTGCCGGTGTGGGTCGCGTCTTCCTCGGTTGGACATCCTGGAATATGTAATAAAAAAGCATTAATAAATATTTGACTGATAAGTCTGTGGAGGGTGTCATGTCCTTCCTACACAAAGAGAGAATCCTTCGACCAGGCGAGGTGATCATGCCTGGTGGGCCGCGGCCCAACGAGCATCTATACAATTTCCCAACATCGACATGTTGGGAAATTTTATAGATGCTAATCGGCGAGAGAATTCTTCATATCGCGATACAGGATTAGCAATTCTCATTCAGGAGTTACTCCTTAGTTCGGTAGGTCTTCGTTAGATGGCGCTGTAGTATGTTTATTTGTTGCGAGGTAATCATGCATGGCGGGCCGCGGGTGGATGTTGGAAAGTTGTATATATGCTAATCGGTGACAGAATTGTTCATATCGCAATACAGGATTAGCAGTTAACCACGGTGTGGTGCGGTGTGTCTTCGATAGATGGCGCTGTAGTATGTTTCTTCGTTTCGTTATATGTGGAAGACGCCACTAGTCAAACAAGTAGTAATAGTGGGAGAGCCATACGTCGGCACGTTTGGTGCAATTCTTTCATTGTCGTTTCTTTCATTGTGTGTTGTAAATTTTGGTACTTGCAAGTTTTCGCAAAAATCTAAATTTGCCCATATCTTTTTATCGTGTTGACTCAGGTGACACACCTAATAGGGACCATAGACCTCAGTATCTGGTATAAATTTCAACTTGCTAAGTCCAGCCGTTCCTGAGAAAATACGTGGTGACACTAGATTGATTGATAGAATACTTACTTGTTTTGTAAAAACATACATATTATACATAGAAAACACCCAACCTCCGAAACAAATATTTGAAGATCATATAAACATTTGGTCCGACCCGGGAATCGAACCCGAGACCTCAACACAGCAGTCGCATACGCTACTACTGCATCACCGAGCTAGTCAACACATATTGACGACCGAATGGCGTAGTGGTTTGTGTAACGGACTGCTATTCCAAAGGTCGCGGGTTCGATTCCCGCTCAAGTCAAGCATTTGTGTGCATGAACATTTAATGTTTGATTTGGTCTGGGTGTTTCTATGTATAATATGTATGTATTTACAAAAAAAAAGTATATATGTATTTATATCAGTTGTCTAGTACCCATAGTACAAGCTCTGCTTAGTTTGGGACTAGATGGCGTTGTGTGAATGTGGTACAATATTATTATTATTATTATTATATATACAATATATTTAGTTTTACAGGTAAATAGTATGTTACCTGTAGGTATTTTGTCGTCGCCGTCGGAGCTGTCATAGGCCCTCAGTGAGGACATCGTGTTGGAGGAGGACAGCCTGAGGAGGGCCGACGCTGTGTTCAGGAATACTTGGTCTATGCCTTGCTGTAGACAAAATAGAATAATTAAGAGTTGTATGATATTAAAGAAATAGTAGGCCAAAACCTCCTTTCTAAGGAGAGGCCTATGTCCAGCAGTGGACTTTTAAAGGCTGTTGATGTGATGTGATGATGTGATGATTAAAGAAATGTTGGGCATGAAAAAAGTTTTTTTGAAGGGCAAACGTCTTAAGGCGCGTTGGGCATTTTTGAACAACCAACAAAAGAATGTATTTTTTGAGATGGGTAAAAACCATTGAACTCGCGACACTGTCACCGTTACCGACACCTCTGTATAAGTATCTACATATATTGGCCCCGTTTACAAGAGAGTTGAGTTTGGGTTGAAATACATTGATAATATAACTGTATATAATATAAACATATATTGTGTATATACGTACAACATAGATATATATTCATGTCGGAACTTTTCTAGTCGTAAAAACAAAAAACAAAAACAAGTTTTCACTTATGACACTGAGTGCCACTGTTTTTTGTGTGAGGTGGGGCTCATGAGCAGATGGATCGTGAGATGGTAAGTGACACCCACCGCTTATGGACGCTTGCGACTCAGTTACAAGCGCGTTGCCGGTTTTTGGAAAGGAGTACGCTCTGGAAAGGAGGACAATTTGTTCCACACATTGGTTGTGCGAGACAAAAAGCTTGTGGAGGAACGGGTGTCATGTTCTTCTAACACAAAGGGAGGATCCTCCGACCAGGCGAGGTGATCATGCCTTGTGGGCCGTGGCCCAACGGTCGATTTTGAGAAATTGTATATGTGCTAATCGGCGAAAGAATTCTTCATATCGCGATACAGGATTAGCAATTCTCATTCAGGAGTTACTCCTTAGTTCGGTATGTCTTCGTTAGATGGCGCTGTAGTATGTTTATTTGTTTCATCGTATGTGGAAGTCGCCACAAGCATTTAGAAAAGTGCACTGGTGATGAATATTTTGCCGTTTCCGATGGCGGAAAGCCGATAAGGCATAAGAGTGTTTGTTTGTTGAAACTAAATGCTAACCGCTTAGCTTGCTTACAAATTTGGGATACAGAACTTCGATTGAGCTCAAATATTGACCCGATATACAACACTCTTTAAGGATAGCTTTTAAAATGTATTTTCTCTTAAGCCTAGTATTCAGTTTCCCTTATATTGTCAAAGTCAAAGTTTTTATTGCGTTCATGTGTACATGTATAATGGCGTAGTAGTTTGTGTAACGGACTGCTATTCCAAGGGTCGCGGGTTCGATTCCCGCTCAAGTCAAACATTTGTGTGCATGAACATTTAATGTTTGATTTGGTCTGGGTGTTTCTATGTATAATCTGTATGTATTTACAAAAATATATATATATGTATTTATATCAGTTGTCTAGTAGCCATAGTACAAGCTCTGCTTAGTTTGGGACTAGATGGCGTTGTGTGAATGTGGTACAATATTATTATTATTAAAAAAATTACAATTTTAGTTCTAAAGACATGAAACCCTGCTAGGGCACAGTAATTTTTATGGTATTAGGCGTTATCACGTATGCCATTAAATTAAAGTATTTATACACTTAATTAAATTACCAATTACATATATTATTATGTTACAATAAAGACTAACGTAACACTAATTATATTTTTACATATTTCCTATAAATGCAATATATAAATTTAGTTTTATATATATATTTTTTTATTTTATTGAATTTGGAATCAAATGTTACGTTATGTTACGTTACGTTACGTACACAAAAAAAATATTAGTTAAATAATAACTTGTTTTTATTTCTTTCTATTTTTGTTACTCATCAATGCAATCACAATGTGCTACAGCGAAGAGTGGCAGGGTACAGCTGGTTCTATATTAAAAAAAAAAGTTTGTTTAACGCGAGTGTCTTTCTCGTAAGAACCGCAACCAAAGCCAAACCGTGAAACTGTTGAGTATAGGGAAATTTTATACCGATATTTAATCATAAGTTGTGGGGCTTCCTAGCAACACCCGGTTCCTATTACAAGTATGACCTTGACCTACTCAGATGAAATAGGTCAAGGTCTGAGTAGGTCAAGGTTATAAGGTTATAAGAGTAGGAAGTGTTTGTTTATATATTTATTACATTTGTTTACACGCTAAAAACTAAAAAACACGCTTTTTATAGAAAACCAAACTAAAAAATAGAAAATAAATTTGAAAAAAAAAAGCGTTGGGTGCCTGTTGTCAATAGTAAAAAGCTTATTATTTTTTATTGTTTTAAATTAGTGTATTGTCATCGGTCCTCGATATATCTATAAAGTTTAAACGAATTCTGACCGTTTAAAGTTAGTCAAAATCACGCCCAAAGGAGTCGGTTACAAACAAACATACAAACATACAATATAAAGCGTGTAAAAATATATTAAACATGGCTAGGTTGCACGTTTATTTATCTCTATAATATTCGAATGTTAATTGGAATTTACTAAGACTGCATTGATATCAACAAGCACTAGATTGATTGGCCAACCTTAAAAGCCTTTAAGGTCCGTGTGGTGACGGATTAAGAATACAGTGTCACCACCCCTATTCATCCCGTGGGTGTCGTAAGAGGCGACTAAGGGAGTAGACTACATAGGACAATAGCACTGCATGGAGAAGGAAAACTTGACACAAACCCTATACCAACCCGTCTGGCCAGCGTGGTATAGTAGGCCAAAGCCTCCTTTCTAAGGAGAGGCCTATGTCTAGCAGTGGACTATTGAAGGCTGTTGATGTGAAGAGCCTTGGAATCGGTGAATTGGCTCCATAAACTGTCCTACGTAGTGGAGGATAGATTATTTTATGTTTACTCTTCTTAATTCATCTGTAGGTGTTTTTATGTTTACTGTAGTTATTTTTTCTCACAGACCCGTCGTATTTCGAACTAATAATACATCACATATCCCACACACGGCCGTCTGATCCCAAACTAGGCAAGCCTGTGCTATGCTGATAAACATATCTACTTGAATATATTTAAATACATAGATATTATAGATAAATTACACCCAGACACAGAACAAATGGCCGTGCTTATCACACAATATTTGTCCTGGTGGGAATCGAACCGACCGTCCGTAACCAGTCTGGCCAGCGTGGTATAGTAGGCCTAAACCTTCTTTCTAAGGAGAGGCCTATGTCCAGCAGTGGACTATTAAAGGTGTGTAGCCCCAGCGGTTTAGGCTCTGCGTTGATTAATCAGTCAGTCAGTAAAGTTATTTCATATGTATAATAATAATAATAATATTTTCACACATCTCACACACGGCTGTCTGATTCCAAACTAGGCAGAGCCTGTACTACAGTAACCAGACTGCTGATAAACATGGTGCAAAACTGAATGAATGGTGTAGTGGTTAAGGTGGTCGCCACGCCGCTTCCTACTGCGCTCAGTGTTGTGGGTTCGATCCCCACACGGGACAACACTTTGTTTGATCCATAAACTGTTGTTCTGAGTCTGGATGTTCTTTGTGTCCGTTTCATGTATGTTTGTAAAGTCCTCCGCGACACAGGATATATTCGCAGTGCAGCAGTTGTCTTTTTAAATAGACCTTTATAAATTGATAAATCACACTCAAACACAGAAATAATGATCACGGTCATCACACAATAGTTTGTCCTAGGTCAGAATAGAACCCACGATCACTGGCTTCGTAGTTCAGGTCACTAATTAAAAGACCAACAAGGACTACCCTCTCATCATCAGTATCTCAGTACTTACCTGATCGTGCAACGCAGATGTCTCACAGTAATGCGCTCCAATGGAGGCTGCGAACTGCGTTGCCTCGGAGACGGTCACCGCTCTATACTGCTCCAAGTCACTCTTGTTCCCCACCACCGATAACACCATGGCTTCGGGGACATTACTGGAATAAAGAGAAAGAAATTATTAATTATTTCTTCTTCTTTCAAGCTTTTTTTTCCACTTTAGGTAGGGTCGGCGTTCGCGGCTCCAAGACATTTTGTTCAGGGTTGTTTGATCAGGTAAATTCTCCTTCTCCAGAAGCGTCGGGATACTGTCATCGAAGGTCCTCGGCCTCTTTTGCCTTCTAGTAGGCTAAATGATGCACAAGTTAATTTGACGGGCCTGTTGGTCTAGTGGTTAGTGACCCTGACTGCTAAACCGGAGGTCGTGGGTTCGATTCCCACCCAGGACAAATATTGTGTGATGAGCACGGTCATTTGTTCTGTGTCTGGGTGTAATTTATCTATAATATGTATGTATTTAGAAATATATAAGTATGTTTATCAGCAGTCTGGTTACCATAGTATAGGCTCTGCCTAGTTTGGGATCAGACGGCCGTGTGTGAGTGTGTGAGATATATTATTATTATTATTATTATTAATTTTAAAAAAACTACTACACTTCACAAGCGTTTTCAATTTTATAATTTCCATATACGCCCAATCACTCTCACAGTTATGACGAATCTAACGATACCTGAAACGCCAAAATCCATCACTGTTTAGGCTACAGGTAATAAAGAAATATACACACACACATACATATACACAAACAACACACATACATACATACCCTCGATAAATACGATTCCCTCCTTTTTTTTTGTGTGCGGATTTCTCCTCGGATACCATCCACCAGTGGGTGATTATGTTGGACTCGAACCGATCAAAAAGCGCGCCGTTTCCAGGTACCAGTAGCCGAGGAACCAGGTATACCCTAGAATGGAAAGCCCTGGTATCCCAACGTACTTCGGGCCATCTACAGCTCATCACACAATTTTATTTAACCTGGGTGGATGTCGAATCCACGACCTTTGGCTTAGCAGTCAGGGTCACCAACCACCAGACCAGGCCAGTCATGATGATGATATTGACTTTAAATTTCTACTATCCGTCACTTACCTTTGTAATTCTTTGACCCAGCCTTTGATAGCTGTGAAGCTACTGACGCTGGTGATATCGAAGACTAGCAGCGCAGCATTCGCGTTACGGTAGTACATTGGGGCCATGGAGCGAAAGCGCTCTTGACCTGCTGTGTCCCATACCTGAAAGGGACAGATATATATCAGTCTCTTTTTCCTTCCAGTATACGCAGAGATGACAGAGATCACCGATCCTGACATATAGCAATTCTGCTCGACCGGAGTAATACAACAGCCTCATAGAAAAGCGCTGTGCTTGTTTGCTTTCGTTCCTTCTCACCTAGTGATTAGGGTTATCGGAGGCTCAGTCAACCCTCCCCCACCCTCAAATATACTTGTCTTCGTCTGTGTCTCTTGAGTTAAATGTGTTTCCGGGCAGCCATAGCCACCAACACACACACATCAGGAGACCCGACTGCTTGTTTGGTCCCAATACCAGAAAAAAATTGATGCTGTCAAACTCTGAACTTCCTTCATTCTTCAACAGATGAGATGATCATTGAATTTTCGTTACTTCCCCTCTCTAGCCTTCTACTAGCATGCTATTAAGGTTAATAAAATCTCAAATGTTACCTGTAATTTAACCCTAGCATTGTCCAAGTTAATATTGCAGGTGAAGAATGACGCCCCTATGGTGGGAGATATGTGTTTCGAGAACATTTTGCCTATGTACCGCACCACCAGCGACGTCTTGCCAACACCTGCAATAGAAGAGAAAGAATATTATTATAATGTAAAATACTTTTATTTTGGTGACGGGGTGGAAAGTCTATGGGATCTCCGGGTCCCGGGTGATATTATCGTATGTTGTATTCCACTTAAAAGCACCCCGAAATCCGAGGTAAGGCGCCCTACTCCAAGGTAAGGCGCCCTACTCCGGGGAGGACTTGGACCACGCCAATTGCCCAAACGGTCGATTAACTAACCACGTTGGAGCCCCCGCGGCCCCATCGACAACTGCTATCTCCTTTCACGTCTTCTAAGCTCGGGATTGGCCCTGTCTAAATCTGTGATCAAAGCGGTCTCTTTCTGAAGCATTACAAAAAAAGTCCAATTGTAATAATATACTGCAATGACATTTACTACCTAATCTGTTTGTAGTTATGGTCGGCTATTAAATATCACAGAAAAATTCAAGGTTTCACCATGTCCATAAGTTTTCAGAGTGAGTAAGAAATTACAAAACTTCTGGAATTTTGTATGAGATAAGTCGGCCATGAGTTTGTTTGCCCTTTCTTCTCATAAGGCTCAACCCATTGGAAATGGGGGGTTGTAGATCGGCACAGGCATATCATAGATTTTGTATGGGTTTGGTTTTTGTTAATTTTTTTTGCTTACTATTTGATAAAACAGAGATTGTTGCTTTTGTGTGTGTTGATCTATGACTTTAGAGTCACATTAAAAGACGATTTCAAACAATTTTAAAAAATTTATGAAATAAAGAGAGTTTGAGTTTAAGATATTCTCGCCGTGATGAGCTATTCCATTCGCCATTCTTCGACACAGCGAGTAAACAAGTGCGAAGAATTTTAAACAAAAGATTAGCAAGTACACGACAATTTCATTGCGAATTGTTATTAATCGGACATTATTGTTTGTTGTGATTAATTGAAACAAATATTATATTTATTACGATGTATTTATCTAATCACCAACCGCAGTTGGTAACAATATCATTCTAAATGATTACTTTTAAAAAATTATCACCGACATCATAACTGTCTAGTACTTAAATCTTTTGTCATGTCATGGCCAAAACTTTTTGAAGTGCAGCTTTGATTTACATCGGCTTTTAGTTTTTTATATGGAACTAGCGATCCGCCCCGGCTTCGCACGCGTACAATGTAAATACTACTAATGTAGTGTCATTGTGGAGTAATTAATTATACTATTATTATGATAAGACTACTACAGGACATCCTTATATGCAATATTTATAGGCCCGCTCCGCTCCTGCCGACCCGCTTTGCCTTTTTAAATCTCTGATATCTACTAAGATGTTGATTTTAATAATATGATGTTAAAGCCATTTTAATTTACATTAAATGCCCAACATACATAACGTATTTATTTGGATAAGGAATAATACTGTATTGTTTAAAATAGCTTCGTAAATTACACACTATTTTTTGTAACATGTAAAAGATAAAAATGGTTACTGTGGGTTAGGAAGTTAGGAGATAGACATATATCATCGCGGACTTTTTTGTAGATATTTTTAAGATATACCTCTACTATAATATAATAAACCTAATATACATATAAACCTTCCTATAAGATGAATGGACTATGTGAAAGAGGACATGATTAGAAAGGGAGAAGTAGTGAATTGACAAGTGATAGAGGAGAATGAAAGAAGAAAACTGAACTGAAAACCGACGATAGTGGTACCAGGAGTACTAAATGATCTAATATTTTGATATTTAATATTTCACACATATCTCACACACGGCGGTGTGATCCCAAACTAGGCAGAGCCTGTACTATGGTAACCAGACTGCTGATAAACATACTTATATATTTCTAAATACATACATATTATAGATAAAGTACACCCAGACACAGAACAAATGACTGTGCTCATGGCACAATATTTGTTCCGGGTGGGAATCGAACCCACGACCTCTGGCGTAGCAGTCACTAACCACTAGACCAGCAGGCCAGTCAAATGATTGGTTTTAACATGTCTAGGTTAAAAGATATAGTCAGTTACTTTTTAATTCAGGTCGTCTTTCGGACCTTTATATGTAATCCGACAAAATGGTACATGAAGCTGAAGCTAGCCGACGCACACTGGGGCAGGATACCCTTATAACTGCCATCAAATATACTAAAGCCGTTAGGCGTTCTAAAGTGGACCGAGTGTTCTCATAGACATATGTAATAACAGAAAAAAACAATTCCGGAAATTAACATCATCATTTTATTGTTTAAAAATAACACATTACATATTTTTTCCAAAAAAAAGCGGTATTTCTCAAGTATAGTTTTTTTTTTATGTTAGAGGGGGCAGACGAGCAGTATGATACCTATTGAAGATATGTTAAAGCATCATCATCTTCATCATTATGATCGTCATCGACTGTAGTATTATCATCTGAGTTATTTAGAAATGGAGCTTTCAACATGAACAGTGCTTCTTTAGGAATATTTTTCACTTTATTTGTGACTAACTTTTGTTTACTGGTGATAACGGGATCAGAGCTCAGTAAAACATAAAAATTTTGGGTGCCTGTTATCAATAGTAAAAAGCACCCCACGCTTTTTTTTAAATTTATTTTCTATTTTTTAGTTTGGTTTTCTATAGAAAGCGTGTTTTTTAGTTTTTTAAAAGTATATTTTTTTTTAATTAGTGTATCGTCATCGGTCCTCGATATATCTACAAAGATTGAACGAATTCTGACCGTTTAAAGTCAGTCAAAATCACGCCTAAAGGAGTAGGTTACAAACATACAAACAAACATACAAGTGAAGCTAATATAAAGCGTATAAAAAGTTAAAAATATCCCTATTAGATTTTTCTCTGCTACATTTTCTCGAATTATGCTCTCTATAGCTCTTAAAGTCTTTTCTTGTCTTAGATTCTTCTGTTAATTGTCCGATAGTAGGAAGTGCAAAAGGATATCTAGCAGTATCAAGTGCAAATACCCTATGCTTTCCTGCATCTATATCAAATTCACTTGTTCAATTAGAATAATGTGTTTTTTTTTATTAAATCTACTTCTATATTAGTTATTTGTGCTGACAAGTCTGGATTTTGGGAAAAACGTCTGGCGGTGTTTCCATCGTTGCTACTGCCGAAACCCGGTTTGGGTTTGTCTATAATTAGGCCACACTTCTCTAAATTCTTTTTGAATTTTTATTTTCTGAAACAGTTTGCTAATCCTTCTCTCCACGGACTTGTCATTTTTTTATAGGGAGTTTGTATGCTAAATGTAGTAAACATTCGAAGAATCGAATCCAACCGCGAAGGACAGAAAGACCAAATCTCAAATTATCAGTATTCACCTTCCTTAAAACTATTTTATCTATTTTATTGAAATCTTTTGATGTTGCACCACACAACAAGAATTTAATGGTTGAAGTAGTAGTAGAAGTAGTTTCATATTTGACCCAATGCATGGGAAAAAAAGTGATGTCTGAAGCCAATCTTTGTTATATTTGTTAAAATTTTCTTTTATTCTACACCTTTCTCCCATCTTGACTTATATTAATACTAGCTGACCCGCGCAACTTCGTCTGCGTCTATCAATAGTAATAAATTTTCTCCGTTTTTGAAACATTCTTCATTGGTGCTCCGCTCCTATTGGTCTTAGCGTGATGATATATAGCCTATAGCCTTCCTCGATAAATGGGCTATCTAACACTGAAAGAATTTTTCAAATCGGACCAGTAGTTCCTGAGATTAGCGCGTTCAAACAAACAAACAAACAAACAAACAAACAAACTCTTCAGCTTTATAATATTAGTATAGATTTAAAACTACTAATTTTATTATATTTACTCGGCATGACTACTCGTTCGTTTCTACTCGTTCGTTTTTCCAGCTCTTTTATAAGATGCATATATTTTTGCTCGAAACTATTCCCTTTAGAACTATGCATTTTATTTAAAAGTTCTTGTCTTGTAATAAATAATGTATTCGAGGACATCCCTAAAACGAAATGAATATTTTTTAATAATAATAGCAAATTGGAACAAAATTATTTTCTGTAAATCATGCACTGAAAATTGTTTTATCTCGAAAATTTGCAAAATATAGCAAAAAAAAATAATTGTTTATAAGAGATGATACTATAAAGATTATTTTTAGATAGTAAGCAAAGCTTAATATTGCTTAGAAACAAAATAAAATATCTATTATTTCGTTATTTTCCTGATAATTTTCTACACACCCAAATTTAGCCTGGTCTGCCTAAAACTAATTATATAATAAAGAAAAAAAACATTCTAAAACATAGTTACATACCTGAAGATGAAGGTTCCATAGCTTAATAATCCCAAAAATAAATACTTTTAGTGTAAAACGGCTCTTAAATTGCACGTAAATCACTAATATTGGATGGGTAGTCTGCAAGACGTAAGTACGCTTCACTGTAGTAACGAAGTGGGTTTGTTATAGGGCATTTAAATACCGCCAAATAATACCTGAGTTAGTATTCTAATTAATTTATACATGAGGGCTAACAAGTGACATCTTTTTTATTTTTCATTTCCGGCATTTATTAGAGTCTTCTGCCCCAGTGTGCGACGGAGCTAGACGACGGACATAGCCTGCGTAGTATATGGCACGCCCCTCAAATTCATTTAATACTTAAAATTATAACTTTTCTGCCAACGTAAAAGTAATTTGGTATTATTGTATGATACTCAGGCATTAACTACACAAAATTTGAAAGCAATCCTATTTTTGTGAATCGAGTTACAGCAGGTTTTTGATCGAAATTCAGTATTTTTTGTTAGTTACGTACGTTTACTCATTAATTGTGTTAATTCTATGTTTTCTGCCAACGTAAAACCTATTTAGTATTATTGTACGACTCTTAGGGATAAACTATACAAAATTAGGAAGCAATCCTATTGTTGTAAACAGAGTTACATCAGGTTTTTCGTCGAATCGGTCAATTTATCGTAAGTCATGTCTGATTGTTCATTTAATAATAAAAATTATAACTTTTCTGCCAACGTAAAAGTAATTTGG